GGGGGGGGGGTATTCATTAAAGACAATATTATAGATTTTATACTAACATTACATTTTTTTATTTTCCATATCTTAAAAGTTTTAACTTAAATATGTGATCAATTTAAATAGTTACAGTAAACAGAATATTCACAGGTAGGATGAAGAAAAAAGGGGGGCTGTGAAAATTTACAAAAACATAGTTATTTATATTTGCAACAATTTTATTTGATCATGTATCAATTCAATCTTCTAGGTGAAGCTTCTTTTCCTTGTGTCTTCATGGAAACCCAAGTTGAGCTGAGAATCCAAATTTATGTCATCTGGGTTTAAAAGAGTTTAAGTCTCTGTTGAAATAATGGCAGATTTTTCACTCCCTATTTATGGCTGTAACAGAAGTAGATATAATTGAAATCTTATGAAAAACCCTTCAAAAGACTTCCAGCCTCAAGAGAGTCAGCTAATAGAATAACAAATCTCCCAAGATCCTTCAGAAAGAAAATGCCTGCCAAATAGCACTGTTAGTACTTTTCGGGGGGAAAATGCTTTTATGATATTATTGCTTCGGAATTTAAACCTATATAAGATGGAGTTGAGTTTGGTCAATATAACTTTATTCATTCACCCAGAACTTATTATCTTTAAAAGAAAAAAATCCTGAAGTGCTATATCTGGTTACTGAAAAAGTTCACTATGGTACTTTAAATTAAAATACTAAGAAAAGTAGAATTAGCACATTGGCTTGACTAGAGAACTTAATGTCTCTTCAGTAAGCAACATTAACTGAATACCTTTAAGTGTAGAAAAATATCCATTTCCTAAATCAATGGAGGTCAATATAATGGGTCAATATGAGGTTATTTTCAAGGAATAAATAGCAACATTTATTGCATGCGTTAAAATAATGTTAAACCTTCAGTCTGTCTCTTAATGGAAGACAGGACAGATTTTCCGAGGAACCTGGACCATCTCCAGTTTGGCCACCCAGCCAGGGTTAGAAATCTGCATTTGCTCAGTGTTCCCAGATCCACATATTTTCTACAAATATAATCAGTGTTATCAGAAACAACTTGGATAACTGCAGAAAGGGAGGGTCATTGTACATTTTTGTTGGTTACTAATTCCAAGTACTAGTCTTTTCAATTAGGAACTTTTTCTTCACATGCCCCAAGTAAGTAAAATGCCTAGAAGGCAGGTCTTGAGTTCATCTTGCAGCAGTAAGATTTATGAATCTGGCTGAGAAACTAGGGTGAGTACAGAGAAGGGGTGCGGGAAAGCAGCCAAAGAGGAATTATACGTGCAACAGATATTAGGCTCCAAATAATTTTCCTTCCAAAGTGCTGTATTTACTGGAGATTATCTGTTAATGTTGTTTTGTTGAGTATATTAATCAATACTTGTTGAACCGAACAAGCAACTTCAGAAAGTTGTATTCCAAACTAAATATACATGGAATGACCCATTTCTTTCTCACTTTTCTTTGACTTAAAAATAACTTTAAAATATTCGTTGACGGTTGTTATTTCACTGTTCTCTATAGAAACAACCCAATACTTTTTCATGCCAGGGGTAACCTCAAAAATGCGCCATGTCTAAGTTTCAAAAGCAAAACATAGTCATTAACGCACGGTTCCAGCAAACCAGAAGTAAAAGTAGGATTACCACACCCCCTTTGAACAAATTACAAGACTTGGTTTGGTTACCTGAAAAGACTGTTGATTAACGAGACTATAAACCAGGATGAAACCTTGGCCGTTTTTGATGTAGAGATCTCTCATGGAGGCAAATTGCTCAGTTCCTGCGGTGTCCAGAATTTCCAGCACGGACGGGGAAGAGTCCACTTCGATCTCTTTGCGGTAGAAATCTTCAATGGTGGGGTCATATTTCTCAATGAAAGTCCCGGTGACAAACTGCACCGTCAGGGCAGATTTGCCAACCCCTCCGCTCCCTAACACCACAACCTTGTATTCCCTCATGAGTCTCACCTTCACCGACTCCTACACGAGGGAGGAAAAAAGACGCCCCGCTAGCTGCGGCTGGGGTGGCGGAAATCTGCGAACTGGGGAGGAGCGCGCAGAGGAGCGGAGGGCCCGACGCGCAAA